CAACATCTCCAGACAATAACAACAGGGATAGACAAGAAAACATACGTAGCAATACATCGAAAATTAATATATTACAAGTCCGCCACGCAGACCTTTCCGATTACAATCACAAAAGGTAGGGGGTTAACCTAGCTCCTCTATCCACGAAGACAACCTTAAAATGTGTTCTCCTCAAAACAGCTGGTTCCCATGGAACGCAACGCATACTCATACCTGAGCACCTGAAAAATGATTAACAACAACAAGTGAGATAAATCTCAGTAAGTTAACGATCTAAGCCTTGGTTAGGAAGTCAGCTAGCCTTGGGCGCACCTAAACACGCAACCACACATCAACGGTAGATCAATAACAAAGCAACCCCTGCTTTGCCCTAACTATACACACAAGCAGGCTACCCAGCCCAGCATAAACAAACGTGCTATTAAACAATCGCAGGCATTCTTACCTTGCCTTGGCATACACGCCCTGCACATTATAAATTAGTACATGCCATAACAATATAATCAACATATAGATAATCGAAACACATAGCAACTTTTACAAACTCACATGTCCCGATTATAAGGTAAAACCTACTTTGGCCTGTCCCATACCGTGCCTCGCAATTTTTACCCATAATCAAGCGCAATGCAATCATACGTATTTCGATTATTACGACCTCACAGGGCCACGGCACAACTTGCGTAAAACATCTCAGGTTGGTGGTTTTTCGGCATGACCGGGTATCATCTCGCCCCATCGGGAACGATATCATCTGGAATCCCCGCCTATATGGCATTCAATTAAGAGCATCGGCCCGACCTCAACAGCGACTCGGCATCCGGATCCCCGCCGAACATTCGAACTTAATCGGGTGACGTCCCCAGACCCTCGCTGGATGACAGGTTCCTTTATGTGATCACACGAGCACAATAATCACACAACTAATTTATATCTCAGCATTTAGCCAAATGCAAACGTGGTTCGTGCTCACCCAATAAATTACTGCAACTTCTACACATAAAAATGCAGTAATAAATTCACACATGATATACACTATCAACCCATCAAACTTTACACGATTTCCTTTTTAAACATCATTGTCCCATTTAACTCATAAAACTTGGCATCCAAACACGACTCCTCGTGAATTACCATTTATATGTCCATAAAATCATTCTTTAAAATAACAACCTAAGTCCTTTTACTAAAGCAACCATTTTCCATGGCAATTTATGCTTTAAACAACATAGAACATGCATAGCTCATCTCATAACTCAAGCACAAAACACATATAATCACAACTTATCACATTAACAACGATAACTTATTGCTCTTCCTCCGATAGCTTATCGCCTGTTTAGCGATAGCTAATCGCCTATTTTTCGAAAGTTTATCACCCAATTCTTGATGGCTTATCACTCCTTCGGTGATAGCTTATCACTTAATTTATGATAGCTTATCACCCTTTTGGTGATAGCTTATCAACATATACCCGATAACTTATCATCCCTTTGACGATAGCATATCACATTTTTTCGATAACCTGTCATGTTCATTTATCACCTATCACGATAGCTTATCACTTCCGCCTATCACTTATCGCGATAGCTTATCAACTAATCCCTCATTAATTAATACTAAGCATAATTAACTTAGTCTAATATAACCCTAAGCAAGATTAACGTACTAATCAAGGGAGAGCGTTAACTCATCCGGAAACGATTCCGACAAAATAAATGCGACGGCGGCGGTGAGGGCTACACGTGGCTCGGTCCGAAACGGCACGGGGTGGCGGCACAGGAAATGGGTCTCACGAGCTGTTGTTGAACAGCAGCAAGGACGACTCGGCAAGGGGTGAGGCGTGGCTCACGGCGGTCCGGCATGAGGCGGACGGTGGCGCACGGCTAGGCATGGCTCGGGGACAGCAAGGGCCCACGGTGGTGGCGGCGGTACAAGAAAAGGCAAGAGGAAAAAGGGAGAGGGAGGGGGCAGTGAAGAGAGAGAGAGAGAGAGAGAGAGAGAGAGAGAGAGAGAGACAAGACCAACTTGTCTTGCAAGACACACCCAAAGATAGATGGCCAAGATCAACACTTGCCCAATAAGCCAAGATTAATGGCTAGAAATTGATCTTGCAAGACAAGCTAATGATGGCTTCTAGAAGACTTATGGGCAAAATGGTAATTTCAACCCTTGTCACTATTCACGGCACTATTCGCATGGGCTTGGGCTTGAATGGGCCCAATTTAAAGAGAAATGGGCTTTAGAAGGTTAATGGGCTTGAAAGGCTTAATGGGTTTTCCTTGGGCTCATTGGGCTTTGGCCTTGGGCATGAGGCCCATCTCGGCCCACTTGTGGGCATTTATTCTTTGTCCAATAATTCTTTTGTTCAAAGTTTCGGGGCCCAAAACTATTCCCAGGGTCTACCTCTACTAACTCGGAAAGGAAAGTCTCTGAACTATCCTTAATCGAAAACCTATAATCGGACGAAGACTCGTGGCTAAACTTCAATGGAAAGTGCTCTTAATACGGCCTATTCGAGTTAGGTGGCCTCTTGGGTGTTGCTAGCATGACTTATGGTTGATTCGTCAATCAATCCATATTCGAGTCTCGTCAATCCATGGATCATTATCGATTGTCATGTAATCGTGCAGAATTAACTTATCTACCTGGGGCACGTGGTCTTGTGAAATTAGCTTAGGATCGTTCGGGTTTAGTATAATGATCGTGCGGAATCACTCGCAATCCAACTACATATACTTCCATCGAATCGATTCCTAACCTTTCACTAATTGACCCGTGACGTCATAAGGTCGTCCCACATCGATCCTTATGGTTGAGCTATTTTTCATGGTCGAGTACTCTAGTCGAGCGTATTTCTCAACCCTTAATTACCCTTCCTAATCGAATAGTTGACCCCTATACGATTCTTGAATCGACCCATGGTCTAATATTGCTATTAGTGCATTGACAGTTTAAGCCACTTCTCTTATCAAAATAGGGTCCGAGCGAGGATGTCACACATACACTTGTTACCATTTTATTGTCAAATATAATGGAACAAGTATGTTCCTCCTGCAATGACTTAATCTGGAATGACCCGCTTTTCCTATTCAGTGCACCATAGATCTTCCACAAACGATTTGGTTGCGAACACTTAACTCTCACAAATTCTTTCGTATTTTTAATAAATTCGACATTCCTTTGTTTAGCAATGGAGTTCTTGACAATAGTTTTTTTAAACAGTTTTGTATTGTCAAATTTCATTCCTACAGACAAAACAGAACATGCAGCAGTCGAATCATAGGAAGGATACTTACTTTTCCTTCTACGGACAGGTACTTCATCATCTTCAAGCTCGTTTTCGAAGCTAGCACTCTCATCTTCATCGCCACTCTATTCATATTCAGTCTAATTACCATCAGCTAAAGCTTTTTCATTCCTATTTACTGGTTGTGGTTCATGTGATTCTCTAAATGATGCTAATTTATTTCTCAGAAAGTCTCTCCGCTTTTGCCTTAATTGTGCAAGTTCTTCATTATCATCGTCATCACTTAGGAAATTTACATTTGCCAAAATATCATCATCCGATTCACTAAATTGAGCAACTTCCCAATTTAATCCGGTCAATTCTTCATCAGGTATTTCTTCACTAGAAACTTGGGGATATCTTCCCATTTGCTCAACTCTCTCTATATGACTTGCCTCCATCTTCGGCTTCAGTTGTTGCCCTTGTCCCCAACCTAAGTACATTCTCCTACTTTTCCTATTTTGGTGCTCTTATCATCTTTATCATCTTCACAGTCACTGTAATACTCAATATAAACTTTAGCTTTCTCACCATGAAGATAATGGTAAATAATGTCCTTAACATCATTATCATCATTAAAGAATCTCAAGCCGTCCTTCAAGCTTTTCTCAGGAACACAATAATGCAATTTATGTACTTTGGATCGTAAATAATGCACTATGCCTCTCATCAATTCAATATATGATGGCCTCCTTACATCGAAAAAGATAGTACCTTCATTTTCACCGGCCTATTCCCATTCCTCGATGCCAATGACAAATTCCCCACCATAGCAAACAATGATGGCGACAACATTGTCCCCTATGCCCAAGCTGCACCGAAAGAAAACAAAATAATCAGCTTTTGGGACTACAACGCACAAAAACCAACAAGTTCACATGGAGGATCCCACAATCGCAATTAAATGATTAAACAAATTACCATTGTCGAAATAAAATAACTTCAGTCTCTATCGTTTAGTAGAAACGAAGTAACACAGCGAGCATCGATGTCCCCACAATCACTATGTCGCAATTCCTTCTCTATTACTGTCATGCCTAATTTATCTTTCCCCCCAAGCCTTAGTTTTGCCCTCGGAGCCATAATTGTGCCCTCGAAGCCCTAATTTTTTTTATCCAATTGAGCCATGAAGAGAATATGAGAAACCTGAATGACTGAGGGTAAGAGTCGACATGCGAGCGGTGGCCAACCACGACGGCGACGGAGCAAGTGACGACGGCGACAAAGCACAGTGTCGACGGGGAGCACAGCGACGACGGCGATGGACGATGGTAACTTTCTTCGCCTGAACGACGACCATATGAGCCCTAATTTCACTCTCAATGTGCGACGTCGTTTAATTAACCAGGGGGAAACGATGTCGCATTGGACGTCCGAGCCACGCAGGCAATGCGACGTCGTTTTTGAAGTCCACGTGGATTTTATTTTTTAAAAAATTTGCCAAGTCATTTACAAGATTTAATTAAAAAAGTCACGTATTATTTTTTATCGGAATATCTGGCCATTGACACTTAAGTGATCGTTTTTCTTCCAAATTTATACTTAAGTGAATCGGCAAAAAATTTTGGCACTAAACCGAGCATCGTATATAAATTGACACTGTTAGTGTTCCCCTCTCACTTTTACCCACATGTTTCGACTCGAACTCGTGATGACAAGGAGCAGAGGCAGGCCAAGACGAGACTCCTCAACCAACCGCTCGCGGCGGTTTTGTCGGACATTTGACTAGGTTGCCGCATTGATCAGCAAGTTAATGATGGCGCAAGCACGGGGAAGCCGCCATTGACGTGAGGTCGACTTCTTGGAATCTAAAGCGCATATTGGCGAGTAGATTCCCGAAGCCGAACAGCTTCGCGAAGGAACGACAATGGTTTTGACTCGTGGGTGCGCACGCAAACTGTTTGCACCCTCTTCTTCGCCATTTCCTCCCTGTATTCGCTGTTGATGAATACATGCAACTTTCCCTTTTCTTTTCTTTTCTTCCTTCTAGAAATTACTGTTCGCTCCCCCTTCTGTGATATGCTCGATCTTCCAGGCCAAGATCAAGAGTTTGGTCGAAAGAAATTCATCCCTCCTCTGTTTCTTTTAATGGGTTCTTCTTCTTCTTCTTCGGGTTCTTGTTGATCGTCTCTACTGATTGCCCTTGCGACATCGCTCGAGATACGCGCGCGGATGGAGTGGAGTTCGTGGGGAAGGCTTTTTTGGCGAGTTTATGGGTTGAGAACTTCGAGCTAGCGTTGCGTGTCTTTGTTGTTGATCGGTTGAATTGTATGTGTTTTGTGGGAAGTCAAGCACGTGGGGATTCCAGTTTCTCTCGATTGCTGGTCTTGGTCAATCCATCGGTCTTCTTCGGCTCCTATCTTTCATGGGTATTGATCAATTAGAGTTTTTTAATTGTTAGACGTCTGCCGTAAGCAACTTCTTTGAAGTCCTTGGACGAAGCTTCGAGCTTTAATTGCTGTTTTTGCGAGCGTCTTCTAGTCAAGGCGCAGCCCCGTTTGGACAGACAGATGTTTCTTGCGCGACGACACTGAGTACTTCCATGTATAAAGAAATTGCATCTTTCCCGAGTCTGTCAGTGAATTTGACCCCATTTCAAGCTTGTAAAGCCCTTTTAGTATGCACTCATGTTAACTCCCGTTGGGTTGTCATGCTTTCTCCATAGTCATCTATGTCGATCACCTGCTGCCTTCCCATTGTCGAATCAGTGTACTGTCTGGCGTGTGCCCGTTGGGTGTGGAAGAAATGCCTCTACTCAGCAGGCCACGAAAGCGAGAACTGGGGGCTTGCTACAGCGGAGGAATTTGCTGCTGTGCCTCGCCTTTGTCGCTATCTTTTAGCTGAATACGAGGATGATCTTCGTAATCCAATATGGGCACCCCCTGGAGGGTATGGAATGAATCCTGATTGGGTCGTACATCGTAAGGACTACGACGAGACACTAGGCCGTGCTCCTCCTTACATGCTGTATATGGATCACAAAAATAGGGATATTGTGTTGATCATTAGGGGACTCAATTTAGCGAAGGAAAGTGATTATGCAGTTTTGCTGGATAATAAACTGGGGCAGACAAAATTAGACGGTGGGTATGTACATAATGGGTTGTTAAAGGCAGCTGGGTGTGTATTCGATGCTGAGTGCGATGTTCTAAAGGAATTACTCGAGAGTTTTCCAGAGTATACCCTGACTTTTGCTGGACACTCCCTTGGGGCAGGGGTGGTGGCCCTGTTGACTATTGTGGCGGTCCAGAATCGAGAGAAGTTGGGAAATTTTGACAGGAAGAGGATTAGATGTTATGCTATTGCTCCTGCTAGGTGCACATCACTGAATTTGGCTGTGAGATATGCAGATGTAATCAATTCCGTTGTTTTGCAGGTATAGTACTACTGCTTAACGTTCTATGTTCTGTCTGAAGTAGTGGATTAGACTGTCATAAGTGTGACCCATATGAAGTGCGGCTCAGTGCCATCAGTTTCAGATAGTATTTGCCTATCTACATTTTGCAATAATATGTAGTTTTCATACCATAATAAACTACTTAACTATTTAGGCACTTTGAAAGTGTGGTCACTTCTTACGGATCTATATATCATTTTCTTTTTCAGGATGCAAGCTAGATATTAATTCCCTTTTAAAGAAGTTACTCTAATGGACAGGTTTCATTGGTAATATATAGTGCATCTGTGGCAATTGTGAGATTATTGTGAAAAGATGCATGCCGTTGATTTTAGCCTACCGAGCATATTAGGATAATAAATGCATGATTCATGACAATGAAGTAGCTTAAAGTGAATGATAGCATAAAAAAGTAGCTAAGAACGAGATATAGGGCTTTACATCAAGTTTGATACATAACGTCTCTGAAAAATGCTTGTTCTTACTTGAAAGACCAGCGTCATGGGTTGGATTAATCTCTTCTGTCTGGATCAAGATTTTTGTCTCTGTAAAGTCCACTGGTGCATTGTTTTATGTTCATATTTATTAATTGATTTACGGCGATGGAACAGGATGATTTTTTGCCTCGGACAACAACTGCCTTGGAGGATGTTTTCAAATCCGTTCTCTGGTAATAGATCTTATGATTATTTACCTCTTCAGTACTATATTATCTTGGATCCAGAATTAGTTATTCAGAGAAGTGCACATGTAGATCCAGTATTAGTTTGTTTCCGATCAGCGAAAGGCCAAATTCCATACTTACGTATCCTAGAAAAGAAAAAAAGTCCAGATGTAGTGTTAGGTGTTGTCACATGGCTAGTCGGATAGGGTGTCCACTAAAATTTAAGTATGAAAGAGAAAATCAAGATACTAACCTTGCTGGCTTTTGCCATTTGACAGTTTGCCATGCTTATTATGCCTTATGTGCTTGAAGGATACGTGCATCCTGGAAGAAAAGATGCTTAGAGATCCGAGGAGATTGTATGCTCCTGGACGACTATATCACATCGTTGAGAGAAAGCCCATGAGGTACAATTACAACTTTTAGCATGCTGCTGGATTCTGCTCAAATTTGGAAAGGGTTATGCAAACCTGTTCTATCTTGATTGTAGGTTAGGAAGGTTTCCTCCTGTTGTGAGGACAGCAGTTCCTGTGGATGGGAGGTTTGAGCATACGGTCCTTTCTTGCAATGCAATTTCTGACCATGCTGTCATTTGGATCGAAAGAGAATCTCAAAGGGCTTTTGATGTACGTATCAGCTTCTAATTTATCGAGCAATACACAAATTATCAATTTTACACTGGCATTAATTTCCTTCTTAGAATCTGGTGATATGTTCTTCATGTTATGGTTGCTATATAAACTATGAGTGCTGCGAAACCATTTCAAAAGCCTGCATTGGCAGCAAGGCATACTGATGAAAACAGTTCGACTTTGTGTAAATTTGTGAGTTATGTGAACTGGTCATAGCATCAATGACCACCATAGTCATCAATTGGGAATCCCATTTAGGGGATGTTGAAATAAAAAACTTCGTCATCTTTTCTAGTCAAAAACAGGGGGGGAGATTTTCATGCTTCCAGGTAAATTTGTGTTCTTTAATATGGTTGGTTGAATGTTTAATCTTTTAATGCACGTTGAACTATATATGACCTAACTACTATTATTATGTTACTAGACACGATCCCTTGGAGTGTTCCTTTTCATGTACTTACTTATTAGGGTTAATACCATAAAAAATCCCAAATTGGTACACTTGAGAGAAATTTACCCTAGACTAATTTTTTGACCACAAAAACCTCAAATTACAACATCTGTGACAAATTTACTCTAAACTAATTTTTTGACCGCCAAAAACCCTAAACTGGTACATTTGTGACAAATTTACCTTCTATTAAATTGGATTGATATCATGAAAAATTACAAACTGGTCTATCTATGACAAACAGAGGATAAAACATCAAACCGGTACACTCGTCAATTGCCACGTGTCATCCAATTCAGAAATATGACGGTAAAATTTAATGGAAACTAGCAAAGGGTAAAATTGTCATAGGTATACTAGTTTGAGGTTTTTTGTGGTTAAAAAATTAGTTTTGGGTAAATTTGCCACAAGTGTACTAGTTTAGAGTTTTTGGGGATATTAACCCTACTTATTAAGCTGGACAAGACTATGATAGTGAATGAAACTCTTGTGGTGACTGTGAATTGAATCATCATGCTTGTAAGGGATTTGAGACGGCAATTTACTCCTACGTCTTCATGTTTTCTCTTAATTTTAGTTAATGCTGGAGAGAGATAAGACCATGGACATCCCAGTGAGCCAGAGAATGGAGCGGCAAGAGTCCGTCGTGCGAGAACACGATGAGGAATATAAAGCCGCACTTCAGAGGGCCATTGATTTGGATATTCCTTTGGCTTACCCACCTACTTATGGCACATTTGATGAAGTTGAAGCAGAGAGTTCCAGTAGATCCAGTGAGGAACCTCCGTTGATGTCATCCAGGAACAGGAGAGAAAGGTGGGACGGTTTTGTAAAGCGCCTCTTTCATGTAAATGACTCTGGCCAAATGGTGTTCAAGATATCATAGTTTTGTACATTCGAATTGCGAGTGTCTCAGACGGCAAAACCCATTCTTTCATTCAAATTGATGTCCCTTTCCTAGGCATTTAGAGAACTGTATGATAGAAGGTTAATTTCGGTCTTTAATCCCACCTGTGCTTATTGCAAATGCAGCTTTAGGTGCTTCAGTAATTGTTTTTTTTCATCCATGAGAATCAAGCAGGCCAGCTACGACTTTGGTACTATTTCTTCAACCAGCCAAAGCTAACCCAACTGTTAGCAAATTTGAATCAATCAGATGCAAGAATGTTAGGATTTCATTTCCTGAAAGAAGTAATGTTGGTGCACAGGCGATGATATTCATGTTGTGCAACTTGCACACTTCTTCCTTCCAAGATTAGGATTGAATTTGATTTTGTGAAGGAGCTAAATTCTAGGAAACAACGGATATTTTATCCTTGTTAAAAAATATTCAATAAAAGACTATGAAACGAAGATGTCGCGTTAAGTGAAGTCTTGACAACGAGCAAGGACCTTGAGCTTAGCAAGTTTGCGAAAGATTGGAGTTGTGATATGACGGATCACTGTTCTTTAATAACCATATAAACTAACCGCTTCTATTTGCGGCTTCATTTACAGGAATACAGTTAAAGCTACAGTAAAATGCTATTTTTCTACAATGCTAGATAGTAATTCCCCGTAATTCTGGGGAAAGAAGAATAATAAACATTCAAGTGCACTAAGCACACTTTCTTCTCTAGTGCTATTGCTGTAGATCGCGAACTGCTTCACCTGCAGCAACAAATAAGAAGTAGAGTTTAATCATATGCTTTAACACACCTCACATTCTTCCAGTAGTTGCACATGGAATCAATCAAGACATCACGATGTATAGCCTTATTTCATTAAGCAACATCTGCTATAGACCCTCTTACAAAATCGCCTTTTTTGTTGCATCAACTGTAATTTAGAGAACATTGCATAATAACGGCAACTTCTATATGGTTAAGGTAAGGGATTTACCATGCATTCTCTTCACAAATCGTTCAAATTCTAATAAGTTCTGTCTTTCCATGAGGATGGAGTTTAGCCTCAGGTAGGTGAAGGATAAAAAGTGCCTCCCATCCGGATCATTCAACAGTTTGGCACCATCCAGCATCTTGTTGTATGCTACACGATTGTGACAAGGAAGAAAATTCTCACTAGTAATTGGGATGCCGTAATCCCAAGCAGCATTCAGCACCTAAAACACAAAACACGGTTCCGTAAGCCACTGGAGGCATGACGTTGTCCTCCAGTTCCACATATAATCCTGATTTAGCAGGAAATATCAGTTAACTTGGGATAGAGCTAGGAGTTCTTTTCAGGGGAAGTGATGAAATACGAGTGCAAATTACTCTTTGCATCCACATATTTGTGAGATTTTTTATCATATAGAAATGCATAAAATAGTGAATACAAGAAGAAAATTATAGAGAAAACCACCATAACTCAGAAGCGCAATTTAGTGAAACATCATCTAATCGTCTCATACTTTTATGTACAATTGTGGACGTTTGGTAATTTTTCTTTTGGCAACTTTGCCTTTTCAAGCTCTAAGAGAGTTAACTTTCTGATGTTGAGAATTCTCATGAGGTCAAAACCCACAAAATAGCAGAACAAAGTCAATACATAGCTAAAAGCTTCTGAGTTAAAACAACAGCATCAAAATTTCAGCAGGTGCTATAGGCCCCACAAAACAAATCCAAGCTTCGTCCCTGCAGTTATCCCTGCCAACTATATATGGTTATACAAAAAGAAGACAGATCTCAGGGCTTACTTGCCAGGCCAAGCCATCAGGATCTGCCAGTGCACTTGAGAAATTCTCCTGTTGGTCTAGCACATGCAGCTGAGCATATGTGAAGTTCAAGGCAGCTCCATGCTTCTTCAGCATTGCTGCAATTGCAGCATAACCATCACGATTGGATGGGTTGTAAAATCCAGCAGTTAATTCAGCAGCATGACTAGCTGTCCTATACCACCAATAAAGACCTGATAGCTGCTCAGCAGTTGAAATAGCACAGTCGATCAAAATAAACTTTTACTGCATTTCAATAACACAATTCCAATTGCAATATCCTCATCATGACATTCCTGCTTAAAATGAATTTTTCAAGGAGAGAAAATATTCCACCAGTATTACATGAATGACACAACACATTGAGGAAATCATTCCTGCATTCCAAGTGATTGAGGGTGCCTGTTTCCCACACTAACTCCATTGACTGTCCAACATTTTACCAATATCGCAAAGTAATTGGAGAATAAAAATCAAACAAAAGGCCTACAATTTTACACCCATATGTCTACTTTGTAATGCATTCCTATCCCTAGTTTAAGTATAGCCATGTTTATGCAAAGACTAACGAGGAGAGAGTAAGGAGAAGCAGATATTGATGGTAATCTTTTCTGATTCTGATTGGAACAGTAAATATGTGTTTGCATCTATCAATATCAATTTAAAAAGTGGACCTACCTTAGCAGCAATGCAAGTACCATCAAAAGCTAATTTTGCCAAGGCAAGTACTCTATCACCATGATCAATCAACACCTGAGAGTACCACTTGAGAAAGAACCTTCCAAAATAGCCATCGTAATCTCCTCCGTCACAGAAGAAACCAGTTTCTTGTGGCTGTGCATTATAAGAACCCGCATTTTCTGGACCTCGAGCCCAAAAGTCCTGTCCCCTTGCCTCTGCTGCCTTTCTAAGATTCTTTAGTAGATACTGATCGTAGCACTTCAAGGAGGGAAAATTATAGCCATTCTCAGGAAAAACTCTTGAACAAAATTCAAAAATATACAAGTATAAAAGAGATAAGTGAAAGTGATTTTGCTTTGTTGTTACTTATTTCGCATCTCTCACCTACCAATTTAACAGTGCCAGAGAGAGCTGTAAAGAGATCAATTAAAAAAGGAAATAGGATTGCTCTCGACAAGCTCCTATATTTCCACAATTTACCCCAGAAAAAAGAACTTGCACAAATATTTCAAACAAATTGACTCAATGCGGCTGTAAAGAAACAGGATGTTTCATCATGCTAAGAAAAAAGACCTTTTTTCTCCAAAAATATCACAAAATCTGAGGAAAATTATATATACACTACAATTCTCCACTCAAAACTGCATAAAAAGAATTCGTTCCAACAAATTCCATCTTAAAGAAAATATTAATTACCTGAAATTCACCTATTCCAGGATATCTCCAACCATTTTTTACAGGGTTTGATGGGTACCGTAACTCCCCACAAGGACCTAGTCCAACCCCAATCATTGATATTAGACCATCCTCAAAGTATTCATTGAACTCTGCACGAAAGCTTCTCATGTAGTCGAAGTAAACCTACACGTAGTAAAAAAGGCGGAACATCTGAGAAATTTCTTCACAAGTTCCCCTTGAATAGAAGAAAAAGGAGGGAGGTGCTTATTCAACTCCTTTTATAAGACTTAAGGACATACCTCAATAGCAGTCCGTCCTCTCAAAACCCGCTCCTTGTCAATACCCCACGAAAGACATTCGGGGTTGCGTCTTCCCTCTCTATCAGTGAAAAATATGTCAGGGTTGCTCCTTCCAATTTCTGCCACCCAGTGGGGCAGTGGGATACAAACATCATCACCGACATTGCCTCCACATTCATGAAATGACATTACGACCTGAGGCAATATCAGCTGGCAATTTGACTATTGAAACTTGATAAACTCAACAAGAATATAGAGAAAAAGGTCAATGGGCACCGTCTAGCATTCTTTTGCATTATTTCACAAAATGTAATGTGTCGCATATAAGAAACCTGCTCCACTGCTAAACACTGAGCCTGCAGTTTGGTCAAGAAGAACTGCATCACGGTGTTTTTTCCTCTTTATAAATCAATGACCTCAATTGATAAGTAGAGCCTGTATACTTTGATGCTTATACACCATGATCTAAAAACTATATCAGCATAAAGTGTGAAGCCCAGGGAGCAGCAAGACCATGGCAAAACCAGAAGTGCCACAATCGTCCAAGATTAGTGCATAAGTTAACAGACATGCCAACCTAAAGTAATGCATGGTGGAGCTCTGCACTTCATCTATGCATAATCAGGGCTTGAAAATGAGTTTAATCAATGGTAACATATGGTAAAAGTGTAGACGGTGACATGATACTATCTCAGGCAAATACAACACTGCGAATAAATTGTAACATAGAAAGACAAAGAAGTGCAATAATCTCCACTTCCATCTCAACATAATTAGGGCTTGAAAGCAAGTGTAGAAAGTGATCAAAGAATTGTGCAAGTGGAACAATGGGTGCATTTGCTATTTCGGATTCATATTATGGTAAATATAAATCTCAAATATTTGTCATAGCTTCTCCAAGATTTTCACTTCAAATGGGGCCACAGGCCCTTAGCTTCCCTAAAAGCAATAATGACTCTCACCTCTACTCCATGCAATGACAGTAATATGCATAGCCACCACCAAAACTTTCAGTTATCAATGTGATGATATTAACCTGTAACTTAAACTGCAGCTCATGTACCATCTGGAATAGCCTCCTGTAACCATTCCAGTTGTACTCCTGTGGAGCATGTGCCTCTACCACTCCCCACCAACAGTCCACCGTGACACCATCGACATTAAGTGACTTCAAAATCCTTAACTGCTTTAGTAAACCATCTGGGTCAACCAGTTCACTCTTTACATTGATGACTCCCAACTGTCAAAAAGGATCACAATGAAAACCATTGTTGAAGCTGAACAAATACCCAATCAACAATTAAGTTGTCTAAGAAGACCTAAACAATCAACTACTGGCGGTCCGCATAAAATTGAAAATGAGGACAGAAATATGCATGTACTCAGCAGGCGCAGCTGACTGAAATAAAAGTATAAAAAGCACATAAAGCAATCTGCAAATATTCGAGATAGCTACTAGGCACAGATATTGTAATCTTACAGGTAGCATCACATAAACAGGAATGTAAGGGGTGCCAGCAAAATCACGCTCTGGTAATTTTGAGGGTACATCAACAATCTGCAGAAGAGACGAAATCAGCTTGAGAAGCATGAGAGACAACAGTAGGAGAACATCAAATCGGAAGAACTGTGTAAGATCTTGTCATTAGAGTTAACTAATGAAACTTCTGTTGAAATACAAAGATCTAGTGTGGATGATAGAGGTGATTGGCTTGTGAAATAAGGAACAAAGACTCATGTAATGTGCATAAGGATCTTTGGTCAAGATTCACACACATGAAGTACTAATCATTTATGTAAAACACACCCACAGCAACACATGGACTATAACCAAGTTCGAACCATTTGATTTGGATGAAGTAAGCATGGCATAGAAACAGAAAGATAGATGTTCATTCCCTCTATCAGTTATCCATGAAATCACCTATACTACCTGCTTGGCATCAACACTTTCAACAGAGCCACCAATAAGTGTTTGGGTATCTAAAGGCTCTCCTCCATCCCCCAATGCAGGTGAAATTTGAGATTGACCTCTTGAAGACGAATCATAAGGAGACGAGTTAGGCACATAGACGCCTTTCATTCGAGATGCATTATAGTCCACTGGACTTCGATAACCAGAAGAGATTCCTCTGAGGGAAGTCAGGGGAGCTTGTTGTGGAACCATTTGGGAAGATGGTGGAGTAACAGCTGCAGAAGTGCCACTAATAGGTTTTGAACCCTGTTAGAGATGAAGAAAAGGATTGGCAGTGGCACCTGGATAATCCTTATCAACTACATAACTTAGGTAACCCATTAGCATATAATTAATATACAAAAACCTAAAAGTGAACAATGCAAACCTCTTCAGGAATATTTTACGTGTGATAAATGGACAACAGACCAGACATATTTAACAGTCACAAGGGCAACACGCGGGTCATTTGGCATAAGAAATAGGAATAACACTGCAGCTAGCCCTTGGCACATTCAGTGAAGGGGGAATGTGGAAGTGTAAACTTCAATATTTCAGTAGGTAATATGTGTTTTTGGGGAACTATTCAAGGCAAAGCGTCACTGCAGAGGACCTCTAACAGTTGATTGAAAACCTTTATGTCACTGCATTGCACTTAAAACTATAAAGGTGTCCGTTGTCACTACATTGCCATGAATACAATAATAAATTAAAGTCATTTAACAAGTACCTTCAACCGTCAAATAGAAGTACCTGAGATCTTGAAGGAAAGGTTGTCCCATCTGGAAGAACAACCCAGCCTGCTTCCCTAGCTAAAGCTGCAATCACATCATTAATATCAGCTCTAACCCTTAGATTGTAGTTCCCATGCCTGCGCAGTCCTGCTAAGATCCTTGCAGTGATTGCTCGCCGGTGCCTCTCCCTCAGCTTCGTTCTCTCCTTCTCTTCAAGTGGCCTACTTCTTCGAACACCACCTCCAGGGATGCTCACTTGTTCGTGAATTTGGGGATGATGAAACCTATTATTATTACTACTTGACCCAATTAGTCCATCAACACCAACTAGTGGAGGAGTTGCAATATGCTTCTCCATGTCATCTTCTTCATCGTCATCCTCTTCCTTCACATCCATCTCCATATCTTCCTCATCATCGTCTTCACTTGTTCCTACTAATCTCTGCATATCGGTTGCCATAGCAGCTCTGCACCTGGCTATCACAATCCTCTGATCTCTTCACCCCAATTGCTAGATGAATGTAGATCTTTTTGTTTCACATGCCATGAAGACAACTTGAGTGCCTACTCCTTACTAACCTCATTCAGAAACAATTCTGGCTAGGCGGGCCAATGAAAAACTGCTGATATGACCAATTCTGCAAGTCCGATAATTGACTCCGAACCGAGCAGCACTCGTCTTGAAGAACAAGATAGCAATCACAAGAAAAAGGTCGAAGACCGAAAATTACTTAATTTCCAAGTCAAACGACATGCTTCACTTATTTATAACACCAGGAAGCAGAAAATCCGCTGTATAGACTACTTGGACAGCCTCACCATGGAAAGAAAAACAGGAAACTATGAAAGTTTTACGCTAATAAATTCATAAACTGTTTTCGCCGAGCTAGCTCCAGAAGCAGAAAGATGCTCGGGAGACGCAAACTCCCAAAGGAAGCTCAAAGACGAGTAGTGATTATCGCATTTTCCGGCAGTTCAGTCACCGACAACCTATGCCTCTTTTTTCTTCAGAATATCACCATTCAACAGAAAACATCAGCCATATCCAATGACATTAAATACTAAGTCTCCACTCAGGAATTAACCATGGACAAAGTCCTGCATGTGAAGCTAAACTTCATCATTTATGTAATTCCCACCAGCCAAGGTAAAATTCAGCAGAGGAAAGCAGACGCGCGCATCCTATTGAGCTGCAATCTAGCACTTCATCGGATCAACATGAACACATCATAGTTTCTCGGAGCTGAAATTGCTATTCAAACCCACCCGCGAGCTAATCTTACCTTCGGTCATCATAGTTAAGCACTACGAACGCGCCCGCAAGTACCGATTTTGTGCACCGACTTCATCTTCCGATCACGCGAGCGTCCCCCAGGCGACGGATCCCGACCGTTTCGTCGACCTACGCGCGGAGGCCGACCGCGCTCCGGCGACCGGAAAACGCCGGCGCGAGCGGCAGCGAGACACCGGGGCTCCGCCGGGAGCGGAACCGGGGAAGGGGGACGCCGAGCCGAGCCGCTCCGGCGAGGGTGGCGGGAGGAGGAGGGGGGGGGCGGGGGTGGGTGGTGGGTGGTGGGTGGTGGGGGGAGGGGGGCGCGTGAGCGCGTGGGGGATGCGCCGGCCTAGGGTTTTTTTTTTTCTTCGTCACGCGTGCGGAGGACTGGCGAGTGTGCGAGGCGAGCTGGATTGGCACGGATGGGGCGTGTGTGGTTTAACACGGAGGGCACGTGCGGGGCGCGCGCGGTGGGGTCCACGTGTACCGCGAGGCGCGTGCGGCGCGTGGGGGCGGGGCGGGACGGGGCGGGGTGGGGGGTGGGTCACGAGATCTGCGTGCCGCCCGCTGTCTCCCTCCCGAGGGGAATCACGTGACCCCGAGATTCACGGTGGCGACCGTTGCGCCATCAAACACGCTTTGGTTAGGAAGGAAGCACGGCTCGCGTGAGTCCGAGCTAAGGTGTTCGCGGCGTGTGGATATGGCGAAACTCTTTCGATGCACACATCTCGTGTGGTGAGTGCTTGTCGCACCTAATTTGTCTCTTATCTTCTCGTTTCACGTGTAAGAACACAATCGAGTTACAAAATAGACAAGACAGCCCCGATAATTAGATAAGATATAATTTGATCGTGAATAATAACGTTTTTCGTTTAGCAACAGTACTCGAAATGAGTTGTTGTCAGTTTTTGAGGTTCAATTGTGCTTTGAAAATCCTAATCCACATCAAACGATGTCTGAAAGCTATTGCTCTGTTTTTAGCCTTTAGGTTATGACTCAAGCTACACTTTGCAAATCTTAACTGTTTGCCAGAAACTATTCCCCCCTCTCTTTCTGTCCTTTTACACGCGAAAAACTTCGTATTGGGCCTCAAGCACAATAAGCGTTTTTCGACCGCGAGTTTACAAGCTTCATTTTTTTTTTATGCGCGGGTTTGAGCCTGTCGATAAGACGGATTGGAATCCGTTTAGCATCGTCCGACAAATTATTTACCAATTACCAAAGCCTAGCATAGAAGAATCACGGCTAGATCTACGCGGCATCAAGAAAAAGCAACTGCTTATAGGGAAATAAAGAGAGGAACCGAGACTGCAAATAACTTGTTTAGCTTTATTGATTTGGATAATACTTCTTATTACACGGAGGTCTACATGATTTTCTACACATCAAATGCTCTCATCACTTCTTATGTTAAAACTCTTACCTGCATAATCCAAGAATGACCATATTTCTTAACTCTCTACAGGATTCCACCATTCAGTTTTTTAAGGGTAAGTAGTGAGTACTGCTAGTGCTTCTTAACCTGTTCCCAAAATCTGCATGCATGTTTTTCCACCATCGACTGTGTTTTATGCATTGTGGAAAAGAATGCTGACAATTTGCTCATATCATATATTATCTCTTGTAAGTTTATCAAGAACGGTCTCGCCATGCATTCTCTTAACAAAGCGCTCAAACTCCATCAGGTTATTTCCCTCAGTCAGAGTTGGGCTGAGCCTGAGATATGTAAAAGCAGATAAATGTCTTCCGTCGGGATCATCGCGAGGCTTCGCGTTCTCTAGTATTTTGTTGAAGCCTTCTCCATCATAGCAAGGTAAGGCATTCTCACTCGCGACGGGTATTTGCACATCCCATGCAGCATTCAACACCTGAAGGGTGAAATAGATAGGCTCTTCAAATAGGCAAATCACAAAAAAATTTGAACTATAAACCGGATGTTGCGTCATTTGAAGTAGGCTCCAAAGTACCGACACAACAGCAATGCTTGTTTTGGCAGAAGGAATTTGACTTTTCTTGTTAAAAACGACGAAAAGTGGACACTATGCATTATTAACGTTATTAAAGGGTGTTACCTGCCAAACTAATCCCTCGGGATCGGCCATTGCCTCTGGGAAGTCCTCATATTGATCCAATGTGCGTAATTCAACACATGTAAAGTTCATTGCTGTCTCGTGCTTCTTTAACATTGATGCAATTGTAGCATAACCATCGCGATTGCATGGGTTGTAGAACCCAGCAGTCAATTCAGCAGCATGGCTGGCTGTCTTGTACCACCAATGAATTCCGGATAACTGCTTCAGACAGGAGATAGCAATCATTGGATGCAAGTTGGTTCAATTGGCAAAATGATCTATACAGCATGATTACCACAATGGTGACTCACCTTCGCAGCTATGCAACATCCTTCGAAAGCCAAATTGGCTAAAGCAAGCACACGATCTCCATGATCTATTAAAACCTGAGAATACCAATTGAGAAAGAATCTCCCGTAGTAACTGTCATATTCACCTCCGTCGCGAAAAAAGCCAGTCTCATGTGGCCGAGAATTATAGCAACCCGCATTATCTGGTGCTCTACCCCAAAAGGAGTGCCCCCTCACTTCTGCTGCCTTTTTCAAACTCTTCATCAAGTACTGATCATAACACTGTACTGAACCCAAAAAGCATTAGTGCCTATAACTTTTGAAAAATCATATCAATCACAAAGTTTCCTTAGCATGGTAGGTTCTCGGGGGCCTAACAACTAAAGATTACTCTAGATGCAACAAGAAGAATGAGGGCTCCTCCAATATGGAGAAAGAACAACAGCTTATCGTTAATATCTTCCACCTCTTCCCATATGTAAACGAGACACAAATAAAATAAAAGGACCAACAACTGGGAGGTACCTGAAATTCACCAATGCCAGGATATTCCCAACCATGTTTGGCAGGATAAGAAGGATACCGTAGCTCCCCACATGGGCCTAGGCCAATTTCAATCTCTGAGATGATTCCATCCTCAAAGAACTCATTGAATTCCACGCGAAAGCTTCTCATATAGTCAAAATAAACCTGCATCGTTGTCATGTTGCAGTATTTAAGGTCCAAACATCATGATTGCTTGTAGAAAATTAGCAGCATCAGAACCTGAGTGGTCTTGTAAGTTCCTTTCTGGGGACTTATATGACATCATATATGTTATATCACTTGGCCAGGAATGGTTTGGTAACTTCAGAATGTCTATCCCTCAGGATAGAGGACTTTGGTTAATTAGGAATACTTCATTGTTTCTTGCAAAACGTCCTCACGGTGGGTGATCAAGGCTGGTGAGTTGGGATTACTTTCAAGGTGGAGTCCAAAGTATCAAATGGACATGACTTTTTAGATAATTGACTTGAATGGTTGCGGCAAAGGTATTATATTAAAGCGCTACAATCTCACAAATAACTGACAAACTATGGCTAGCATGCCCTTGATATAGAGGAAGGTATTCTTTCTTAGTTGCTTTCTTCAATAAGAATGTTCAACACATGAAGCCTAGCATAGCAATCAACAAAACTATTTCCCAGCAGATACCTCAACAGCAGTACGGCCTCTCAAAACTCTTTCCTTATCAATTCCCCATGTGAGGCATTCCGTATTGTGTCTCCCTTCTCTGTCGGTAAAATAGATATTGGGGTTCTTTTGACCGATTTCCATCACCCAGGATGGCAGTGGAATATGTACATCATCACCAACATTGCCTCCACATTCGTGGAACGACATGACGACCTGTATGAAATGCCAAGTCAAATAGGATTGCTCTTCAAGGATGTTAATTCTTTCACTGTGTTATGTGAATTAACTGGGTTGAGATCCAGCAAGTCCTTCATAACATAGGTTTGTCCATCAATCAATTGAAGAAAATTTAATCCACAAAAAAAAAAGCAGAGCATGTGACAGCAGTAAGAAAAAAATTGCCCTGAGAAAAGCCGTTACATTAGCAAATGATCCAACAGCAAAAAGATAGAGCCCCCTGATATAATACAAAATAAATAAATAAAACATTTATTTCTAGCTTCACATGGAATCCTAATTATGCAGAACGCATGATAAGAGAGTGCAGGTCTAAAATTTCAGCAAGCAAAGGTATGATCCATTGGTTAAGATATTACTCTTCATATGCCAGGAGATAATTGGTTCAACTTCCTTTCATTGGAATGAGGGAAAAAAGTACCTCTCGGAAACTTGTGGGCAATATTAACAACTTCATCCTAAGCATTGATATTAGGACTTAAAAGTTGGTAGCTACTCCACTCACCTGTAACTTAAGCTTGAGGTCACGCACCATCTGAAATAGCTTCTTGTAGCCGCTCCAATTATATGCTTGTGGTGCATCTGCCTCGACTATTCCCCACCAACAGTCAATCATGACACCATCAACATTAACTGACTTCAATATCTTTAACTGCTCTAGCAGACCTTCGGGATCAACTAATTCGCATTCCAAGTTCACAACACTCAGCTGCAATCCCAAAAGAAACAAAATTATAACTATTCAGATGAATAACAACACTACATGTTATTTTGGAAAGGCAACGAGACATGCAGTAGGATAACATCACTGCTTCTTAATTCTAGTTAAAACTCCGAACATGTCTCAAGGGAAGCAATCCGTCACAAGATTGATGCATAACAGTACGGGAGAACTCACCGGCAGCATCACATAGACAGGAACATATGGTGTGCCAGCAAAGTCACGCTCTGGAAGCTTAATAGGCAGGTCTGCAACCTGTTAAATGGAAAAATAAGACTATGGTCATGCCTCTCGTCGAAATACATCCAAATCAGTACTTCATCAGATAATGTACAACATCGCGAGACTCCAGATCCTCTAGAGCCGGTTCTAATTTTCCAGTTCTTTTAGCCTAAGCGGAGACTCCAACACTTGATTTGTTAGTCGACTGGTCTCATCCTCCACCCCCCCCACCCCCCCGCCCGGTTTCTTGTTTCGACAATTGGATCGTCCTTCACCACCACTTGAACTTCCCACTTCCTCAACACCCAAACTCAAAATATACCACCAAATATCCTCCTTACCTCAAATTAAACCATTTCTTATTCAAATTGCAGAGACTGTGTAGTAAGATAGTGGCATCGCAACACCGACAGGCCACGAAACACGAATGCTAAATCACACATTGTCCTCAACGTAGCCATGATCACTGAAGTAGCACCTTTTTTAGCAACAAATTAGCAGAAAAATTCCAGGCGAGAAAAATCCTCACCATACTAGCACAGAACAAGTTTCTGCGAACCGACGGCATTTACCTGTTTGTCCTCGGGAGCGCCCGCAGAATCGCCGGCAACCCGGCCGCCTTCGCTCTCGGCGACCACGGCTCGCGTCCTCGACCGCGCGGCCGCGACCAAACGCGCGTCCCCCCAGCGACAGGGAGAGCACCGGACCGAGCTCCGGCGCCGGCCCGCGGCACCGACCCGCGAAGGAAGCGGAACCCTCCACGCCGGAGCGTCCGAGCACGGCGTGCCCATCTTCCCGAGCCGAACGGAAGACACCGCCATGGTTTCTTGGCTCCCGAGGAAGCAGCCAAGTGGGGGCGGCGGTGGTCGTGGTTTTGATGAGAAGGGGGGGCGAAGCTAGGGAGATAGCAGAAGCTGCGAGAGAAGATGAGCTTCTTGGCCGAGCTTTATCAGCTTCTGCATCGTTGAATGATGGCAGACTTTCTCGGGAAGAAGAAGAGGAAGAAGACGGAGGGAGAGAGCGTAGGAACGACGACGAGGGTGGGGGTGAGGAGCGGGAGAAAATGGTTTGCTGGATCCAAGGCTAGATCCATGCGTACAATCTAAATAAAGGTCGTCCCTTTTTTCTTTCAAGATTACGTTTTTAAGGCTAATTAAAAAAACAGCTTTGGCTTTGTCGATTATACCGAACTTTTTGTCTCAAGAAAAGCCTAAACTTTCTAAAGTCCAATCTCCACTGTTATAAGCTACTGTCCAATTAACGTCGAAAAAAAAAAAAAAAAAAAAAAAAAAAAAAAAAGCGAGCACGGTGCGGCGTAGCCAAGCTTCGCAGGTGGCCGCCGCCACGCCGCCGGGAAGGAGCGGCGGCCCTCGCTGGGCCTTCCGAAGGCGGCGACCCTCGCCCGCCCGGCGAGTCGCCGGCGAGGGCCTGCGCTCCCGATCGGGGCGGGGTCGCGCCTCCCCGGACGGGGCTTGCGGGCCCTCGGCGACTTGCCGGGGCCGGCGAGGGTCGCCGGCCTCGGGAGGCCCGGGCGAGGCCTCGCCTGGGTCGGCGGCCTCGCTCGGGCCTTCCCAGGTCGGCGACCTCGCCGGCCGGGCAGAGTCGCCGGCGAGGGGCTGCAAGCCCCGTATGGGGAGGCGCGACCCTCGCCCGGATCGGGGCACGATCCCTCGCCGGCGAGGGTCGTCGGCCTTCGGGAGGCCCGGGGCGAGGCCTCGCCAGGGGGCTCCGGCCGCCTCGCTGGGCCTTCCCGAAGGCCGGCGACCCTCGCCGCCCGGCGAGTCGCCGGCGAGGGCTCGCAAGCCCCGATCCGGGGAGGGCGCGACCTCGCCCCAGATCGGGCCGCAAAGCCCTCGCCGGCGAGGGTCGTCTACGGGAGGCCCAGCGACGCTCGCTGGGTCGGCGGCTGCCTCTGGGCCTTCTCGAAGGCGACCTCGCCGGCCGGCGAGCGAGTCGGCCGGGCCTGGCCTCAGCCTCGATCCGGGGCGAGGGTCGCGCCCGCCCCCGGATCCGGGGGCCGCAGCCCGCCGGCGACTCGCCCGGGGCGGCGAGGTCGCCGCCTTCCGAGAAGGCCCAAAGCGAGGCCGCCGCTCCTTCCCGATGGCGGCTGTGGCGCGGCCACGGCGAAGGCTTGGCCACGCCGCACCGGCTGCTTTTTTTTTTTTTTTTTTTTTTCCCGACGTTAATTGGACTGAGTTATAACTAGAGGTAGATTTGGGACTCAGAAGAAAGTTTGAGGTTTTTCTGGAACAAAAAAGTTCGGGTATAATGGGACGTGTAAAGTTTGGGTTTTTTTTGGAATTGGGCCCCGTTTTTAATGAGTGATGATGTTTTTCTCTTTCAAAGTTACTATCGAATTGCATTGTTTTTTTCCAACGTTATGAGTATACTCATGTTTTTTTTTAAGGGATATTTTTCGGGTCGCGTTCAAAAATTCATTTTTCACTTGTCGTATTCCTTCGATCCAACGTTGATCGAATTCTCAAAAGAGTACTTGATGCAATGGGGTGAATGGCGCAAAGGGCTTGTCCAGGCTTGGACGGGCAGCCCGAAGAACAAAATAGACTGGTCTGGGCAACCGATTCCTTTCGGGACCTAAGTAGGCAATTCCTTTCTTGGGCGCAATTTGACTCGGTCTAAACCCTTGCCGTACAGGCGAGCAATGGCTGTTAGGCCCTTTATTGAGCTCAGCTTGCCAATTCACGAAGTATAATTTTCAAGAATGGCCTTAAGACGAGTCGCCTATTTATGAATCACTAAAAGGCTTTCTCATGCACAGCACAGATGTGCACTCTTTGGCATTGTTTCATATCATCCTGCATTACACCCTTATTCGATGCGTAATTTCGTCATAATATTCTTTTATGAGCCCTGATTACCGGAGCCCTCTCTACCTCACAGTTCTCACATGCCATCGTCCAGTTTTTGCAGGCTAGGGAGGGAAGTTTGGATGACCGACTTCACTTTTGTCCCCTTTACCTCTGTGGACAACTTATTCGTGCCGGATCAAGACAAGAAGTCCATGTCTGAATTAGGAGATTCGTATAAAGTCATCACTGCTTTTCAACTCTAGCCAAAAAAAGGAAATTTGACTTGAAATTAGGTTCTTAATTTCTGATTCTTTAGTGAACCGCAAAAGATTTAAAAAGGGCGAGTCTTTGAGCAGGCAATGCAATGCCCACCAACTCAAAAGTCAAGCCTGAGAAGGATAAATGGGACGCACGTCTTTGGGAGTGTGCCTTGAATATGGCTCAGTTCTCTCATAGTTTCCCTTCAACTGCACAATATCAAAATCATGTTGAAACCAACGAGATGATATGATAAATGCTTAGAGGGAAGGTCGTCTTCTTGACAGAAAATAAGCGAGTGCCTGGTTAGGGAGCTGGATCAAACGGTCTTCTGCTAGCTCAAGGATACATTTCAACAGTTTCGAATTCGAAAATGGCCACCAAAAAAGGTAACTTTACGAACGTCAAGTTCTTTCCATTTCCATAAGAGTGAACCCACATTTTCTTTCGACCTTCGCTCACACAATTCTTGGTACTGCAAATTTCATCCCATTATTAACAGGCGACATGATAAACCTACTCCCTTTTCGCAACTCCCAAAAAAGTACACTCTTTTGTCTTTTCCCTTTTCCACAGCGGAATGTTCATTCAGATGCAGGCCTAAATTCCCATTTTTGCAGATTGTGTATATCGCAGTCATGATCCATGAAGTCCTGAGAATCTCCACGTTGACTTGAATTGCTTGCAGGTTAATATATTGGCCAATTTGAGGTGGCTTCAGGACTTCATTCTGAGATGGAGCATTTGTCGAAGTCTGACGATACTTTGGTGGATCAGAATGATCAACCGTCCACGGAAACTCCAGCGTATTCGACTATGAGTACTGATTCAGCCGCAGCATTTTTTCGTACTAACTCCGACACTTCAGCATTTTCGGAGACTGTAGATGATAGTAGCTACTCTAGCGAACCTTCTCCTTTGCACTGGCCGGTTGTGAAATCCGGACGTCAAAACAATCTCGTCCTTGGCAGGGTAGGCATGAAGCAACACAAGCATGACATGAACGAAAACGATGACGACTTAGAGTGTGTAGATCCAGGTGGGCACGGTACATCTTTTCAAAATAACTGAGCTTTTGTGGGTTAGGAAGACAAACAAAGTTTAGTGACCTTGAGTGCACATTTTTCCATTTCAAGAACTCGAGATGATGAAGGAGCGGTTCGCAAAGATTTTGCTCGGTGAAGACATGTCTGGGGGAGGGAAAGGCGTATGCACTGCTGTTACAATCTCCAATGCCATCACAAACCTTTACGGTAGTTCTTTTTTTGTATCAAAAGGAAATTACAATTGTCAAGAGGATATTTGTTGTGCATTGCCTGAGACTAAGGGGTTTGGCGTTTTGCATCTGTGCAACCTTCTGCAGCTACCGTATTTGGGCAGAAATTGAGATTAGAGCCCCTGAATCAAGAGAACAAGGCAATGTGGAAAAGAGAAATGAATTGTCTACTCTCGGTTTGTGATTATATGTTAGAAGTCACCGCTTCCACACAGGAACTACGAGACGGGACATCGGTTCAGGTGAATGAAATAACAATTTGAAACTGCCTTCTCAGAAAGATTACAATTTGCCCATCTTTTTTCTCTAACACAATTTGGTTAATGCCCTTCAGGTGATGACAAGTACACCAAGACCAGACATTTATGTTAATCTCCCCGCATTGCAGAAGCTCAATGCGATGCTTTTGGTAATGCGATTCTTTAGGTGATAGCAGTAGAGCAGTTCGGTTCACATTGTCCGCGGACTTGAATTACAGGAAAGAAACAATTTTTTGACAGGACATATTGGATAGCTTCCAGGAGACGGAATTCTGGTACGTAGAAAAAGGAAGCATGTCATCAAATTCGATCGGTTCAGGGTCATTTGGGAGAGTTGCTCAGCTGAATGAGGAGAAATGGTGGCTGCCGGTTCCATGTGTGCCTCCTGACGGCCTCTCTGAAGAATCGAGAATGAACCTGAGGCACAAGCGTGACTGCGCCAATCAGATTCATAAAGCAGCCATGGCAATCAATAGCAATATTCTTGCCGAGATGGATATCCCAGAAGGCTACATGGCTAGTCTTCCAAAAGTTGGTGAATTAGTCTTTCGTGTTTTCACGATTAGTTTGGTATTGTCATCCTTTTTCATCCTCACCGCTGAAGTGATTATGTGTAACTCTATATTGGTACCGAAACAATTTCTTTCACTTGCAGACTGGCAGAGAAAGCCTTGGAGACACAATTTACCGCTATATATGCACACCAGAGAAATTCTCCCCTGATTACCTCCTTGACCGCCTAAGCATAACATCTGAACACGAAGCGCTTGATCTTGCAAACAGAGTCGAGGCTTCCATGTACACGTGGAGGCGTAAATCGTGCATAAACCATTCAAAATCATCGTGGAACTTGGTAAAGGACTTCATGGCTGACACTGAGCGGAGCGACAAGAATCACAACTTGGCAGAGAGAGCTGAGAGCTTACTCTTTTGCCTGAAGCAAAGGTACCCTGGGCTTTCACAGACAAGCTTGGACACATGGAAGATTCAATATAACCAGGTAAAGTGCATTATTATGCCTTACGGAATAAAAGCGGCAAATTATGCTGCATTCTCCTTCATGTAGATAGTTTACGCTAGCTTATAAGACATCATGACTATGAATCATTTATCTATCAAAAGAAAATATAGATTAGACTTGCTGCAATAATATCTAGCTGACTGCTCTCTCTCTCTCTCTCTCTCTCTCTCTCTCTCTCTCTCTCTCTCTCTCTCTCTCCAAATTCTGTTGTGTCCCCTGCAAGAGATTGGACTGAAAGTGAGAAAGTCATGCCTTGCAGGATGTGGGGCAAGCAATTTTAGAGAGCTACTCAAGAGTGCTTGAAGGTCTAGCATTCAACATTGTTGCTCGGATTGAGGATGTACACAATGCAGATGGTGCTTGACTGTCGAGCGTCCTACACTGTTGCTCTGATCGACAATATACTCAGTGGCATACAGATAGCTTGTTAGAACTCATCAACAGTAGAGATGTTTGCGAAGAGTTTGACATCAAGGTTGATAGATGGGAACTTGCTAGTTGCTACCCGGCTGCAAATTTCTGCAGAAGCATTATGTTTTCTGTAGTAAATGACCCAGAATATGGCTCAGTTTGAGAAGCTCAGATGAATCACAGAAATCACAATGCAGGTGTTCCTGTATGCATCATTATATCCACCAATCACCTTATAAGGTACCGTTCAGGAAAATAACATCTTTATGGAAGCACCTTTGTTGATAGAATGAGATGAGTAATTGCATGGTTTCACTTTGTAAGGAGAAAGCCATAGGGCTTTTCTTTCATACACTACTTACAAAAATATCGGATTACACATATAGTACTAGATGCACGAATTTTGCTTTTCCATGGACTAACATATACTTTAATTAAGTTAAATGTGTACGGAATGTGAAAATTCATCTTTTCACTGGTTGTGCAGAATGAAATCTTAATAAATTTTCGCTCTTGTAAGGGAGAGGGGAATACATGTTGCGAAGACAAAATCGGACACTAAATTCCGCACAGAGTAACATACATTCATATAGTCATATCAGGTGAGCAATGTGAATGTACTACATAAGCTTGCAGAGGAAGAATATCAACCTTAAACATCAACAGGTTTCTTATATCCTCGGACATCTGTCAAAGAACTACTCCTCAGCATTAAAGGACCAAAGGGTTTCTTTTCGCATTCTTGGATGACAAGAATATTTCACATTCGTGCCTGCATTTTGATAATCTCGGTCGTTTCCCTCCAGGCATTTGTTTATAAAGAGCTAAAAAACTTTGGATGTTGCCTCCACTTTATTAGCAGCGGGAGTGTTTCGCTTCTTCTCATCCTACATTGCACAAGAAACCATTTTAAGAAGGATAAGAAAACACTCTTAATGAACGCAAAGAGATCGAACTTTACAGGGAAATTACAAAAATGAGCTGAACTCCACATGGTGTAAGCGAAAACTTGACCGATAGGAATCTGAATCTGACATGATTAACTAAAAATTGACACGGCTCGACGCGTTTTAACTTGGTATTTTCAAAAACCACAACTTCATCATGCTAGGCAAAATTCAGCTATCTTAATCGACACAAAATGATAAGAACATGACAACAGCACAGAGATACATTGGCATTTCCAATTCTTGAATGGGTAACCGAGTGTTGAGGTGTTTGCCTGCACAAGCCACGGAGAGAGACAGAGACAGAGACGTCTCACAAAAGGCAGTTGCAATTACCAACTCCCTATAAGCTGAGTTGTTGTTGTTATCATCATTATTGTTGTTGTTATATTTGCAAGCTTCCATTCTCAAGTTCTAGCAAAAAAAAAAAAAGCTTCCATTCTCAAGATATATATACATATTAGTAGAGTTGGTGATCACCTATTTGTTAACCATCCACAATCAAAACAAATATGAATGATTTTCGAGTGCAGTTACTATTGCATAATAAACAAAAACAAATTTACTCCATGTTGGTTTGTCAATAATATCATATAGCCGCTATTGTAAGTTGTTAACGTAAAGTCAGCGCATCCTATGGAGGGAAAAGTGTCAAAAAAGTCCTAAACCTCTTGCGTTGGTACCAATTTAGTCATAAATCTTTTTTTGGTGCCAATTCAGTCATAAACCTTTTGCATTGGTACCAATTCAGTCCTAAACCTTTTTATATTGGTACCAATTCAATCCTAAATTTTTTGTTTTTGTGCCAATTTAGTCCTTACGGCCAATTTTAACCGGATTTTGCTGACGTGGACAACTTTAATAATATTTTAATATTTTTTTTAAAAAAAAATTTTCTTTTTTTCTTTTTTCCCCTCCCCTCTCTCCTTCTTCCAGCCGGTCGCCGGTCCGGCCATTGGCGAGGGCGGCCTCGCCCTCGCCAGTGACAGCGAAGGCGAGCCTTACCAGTGGCTAGCGAGGGCGAACCTTGCCGGCGCCGGCCTCTGGCCTCTGGCCGGTCGCCGGTCCGGTGTCTGGCAACCGGAAGGAGGGAGGGGAGGGGGAAAAAAAAAGAAAAAAATTAATAAAAATTCAATAAAATATTAAAATATTATTAAAGTTGTCCACGTCAGCGCCAGTGACCGGCCACCCGCCGGCCGACATCCACGTCAGCAAAATTCAGCCAAAATTGGCCGGAAGGACTAAATTGGCATAAAAACAAAACGTTTAGAATTAAATTGGCATCAATGCAAAAGGTTTAGGACTGAATTGGCACCAAAAAAAGATTTAGGACTAAATTGGCACAAATGCAAAAGGTTTAGGACTTTTTTGACATTTTTCCCTCCTACGGGAATTGCTAGATCGATCTACTAGAGAAACACTTTCTTGTGACATGCTACGCCCAATATGCAAGGCCGTGAGAAGTTCCATCTAAGAACTCGATATATATATCTTAGGGAGAATTGGGTAATAATCGAAAGCAAGAATCATCTTCATTATTGCAAACTACTATGTGGCCAAGTCTTTTGAAATGTGTCGGCACACGATTCTTGACTTCTTGATGTTACTTATTACAAACTCATCATCCTCTTGATGTTACTTATTACAAACTCATTATCCTTTTGGCAAAGAAAGTACAGTCAGATACTGCCACAAAAGACGGACCACTTGTTAAACCACATTAATGGTGCGATATGTCACAATACCGACAAATTCCTACCATCGGTACACTTGTTAAACGTACTTTTGGCTCGTTTGTTTCGGTTTAAGCAAAAATAAAAGGTAAGAATCAATCCAAATCTACCCTTTAAAAAGAAATATTTCATAACACTAATTACACATAACACGAGAAGAAAAACAATGTAATGAAGATCGTGAACTTTATTTATTTGGTTAACCAGATGCTATTGAAATGAATCTAACATGAAGAGGAAAGATGTGAACCGACATTCTTGCAAATGAGGAAAAACCATGAGGCGAGACAGATTATTTCAGTTACTACCACCGTCATTTACCACATAAATATCCTGCATTTCCCAGTTTTACAGCTTCGAAATCTCCCTATGGACAGCTTTGATCTAGAACAGCTGAAGTAACAAGGACCTGGTGACAAAATATTAAGGAGACAAAGCGAAGGAGGAGATACAACAAAGGGATCTAAGAGCATGAAGCAGCTCAAAACACTGTTTTGATTTACTCGGCTCAGCTAAAAATAAGTGAAACAATTAATCTCTATATATACAACAAGCCTCTGAACTGCACCTGCAAAGTGCTCCATCCAGACGGGAAGTAATCAAAGGGTTAGTAGAACGAAATCAGTCTCAAGACCCGATATGATGGGGGCTGCATGTGCAGAATTTCCTCACTTCTTCCATCTTTTACCAGTAAAGCATGCGCCAAAAAATCATTTACCTCTCAACAGCCTCCGCGCGACGGCCGAGGTGCCGGTTTTCCAAGGTAATCTCGACTTAGATTGAGCGAGAAGCCATGCATTTGCAAGACTACCTTCTGATGGGCTTTGCCCTGACTAGATCCATCCCAAGAATATTTTCCTTGAGCTTAATCAGCTGTCATCGTCCACAGCACCAACATACATGAGATCTGCTCTCCTCACCCTCATGGCCCCCTTCAGCCAGCTGGCAGCTCGAAGATTAGCATTGTCAGCGCCGCCTATACCAGCGGTGCCGCTTGAAGATGGGCCCCCGCCTACACCATCTTCAAGGAGTGTCCACGCGTCAACTTCTACGTTGTGGTCCTGCTGCAAAGCCACCAGCCTGGACTTCCCACTTATGGTAGTCGAAGATCTAGCAGAAGAAACCGGATTCCTCTGCGATGGGTTCGAATTTCCTAATGATGCTCCTGGAAGTGAGATGGTCGATTGCACTGTAGCAAGAGCAGCAGCTGGTACAGAAGGGGGTTGGCATGAGACAGAGCACCGGACAGAAGGAAGGAGGAAAGGCATTGCAGCTTGGATTCGCCAGCGAATTTTGTCAGGAAGTTGCATATTCTCCAATTCATTCTGCATTAGTTTCAGTAAGTGAGATACATCCCAGAACAATTGGCTTTAAAGAAGTCATTATACTACACGTAGCAAGGATTTTAAGGGCTCATGAAGCAACATACGCACTCTAAGGAGCAATGAACCTACCAGCAAATTTTCAGCAGCTTCCTCATCTATTCCAGTGAAGTCCTTGATATATTCAGGAGCTGACTTTGAGGTGAGCTTTGGCTTCAGCCAACTGGGCTGAGAGCTGCTCAACAACCCATGCAAGACTAGCAGTAATCTATCAAAAAGCGTTTCGCCCAAAAAGTTTGAAGGAGCATTATGACCAGGAGCTTGCGCTGGCAACTCTCCCTCTCTTTTGCATGAAGAAGTCTGCAGAGGATGGATAGCCAAGTCTGCATAATCATAAACAAGTTGATTCCCAAGGAGGCGAAGTATTACAGAGGCAAGCATGTGCCTCATGTTCCGTCCTAATGGCTCCCTGTATGCAATTGGAGTAACTGTTGTTTACCATCATCAAGAAAAAATAAAAAAATAAAAAAAAACACTCTCACTACAACTACATAAAAGAAATAGGTAACAACATTTCAATAAAAATGCTCATGAATGTCACCTATCATTCACTAGCCTATTGTTCTTCAATAGTTATGGTAATTCGAGCAAATCGGAAATGCAAAAAGTTTCTAATATTAAATGGTGGATGGCAGGTGAAAGCTACTGAATAATTGGAATAGATACCTCACTGGGCTTGAGCAATATATGCATATTGATGTCAATTTTCATGACTGACGTTAAGAACATGCTTAACCAATTGATTTGACAGGAAGTCGGAGGGAGTATCAGCATTGTTTACTTGTCAATGATGAGACAGTGCATAGTATAAGTCCAACATTGCTCGAGAAGCCACTATGGAAGGTGAATCCTACTCCCAGACAAAATAATACAGATGGCTGAAGATGCAGCTTTGGCTAAATAGTCTTACTACAGAGAACATGGCCAAATGATGCCAGAAAATGAAACATTCTGAGTGTAGAAAGTAGATTTAGGAATTTGGAATCTGAAAATGAAGCTGACATATATTTATGAGAAGAGAAGTATTGAAGACAACTCAATAGCACCATCAACCCATCTATACAAAGCAATAGACATGCATGGTAATCTTGAAAGAGAAAAGTTTCAGAGCATTGCAATGTCAAGGTAAATTACCTGTCTGCACAAATAATGGGAAGCAATTTCAGAAGGAAATGCAACCGCAACGAAATGGATGCTCGCAAAGCAGCAGGAGGAGGAGGGGCAGAATCCACTGCTGCTGCAGCTGCCGCTGCTTGTCTTCTGGCTAAACCAGGACTACCACCTCTCATACCTTTCCGGTTAGTGCTCTTGCCAGCAGGACCTTCCGTTCCAGGAGTAGCTGTTCCAGTGTTTTTACTTGTCACACGAGCAATTAAACTTATATGTTGTTCAATAGCATTCAACTGCTTGATTAAATCACTAGCAAAAGCATTGCGTGATTCATCAGAACTTTGTTCAATACAAGGGAGAACAAGTTCTATAAGGGCCTTTTCAGTCGCAAACTGCTGCATGCTCCTAGCACTATAACCTTCAGCATCAAGCTGCACTTGTAACGACCCTTTACTGAACTTCTTTGGATCCAAACCCTCTTCAACGACTTCTCCTTCCTCAATAGAGGCAACTTCGTGCTTCTTCTTATCTAAATTGTTGGCTATGGTAACAACACCTGAGGTTGACCAACCCCAATGCTTCCAAATCTGGGGCTTGGTTGAAAAACCTCTACTATCAGCAATGTTCATAAGA